GTTTTCAGGACAGACTTAGTTTTTCTCAGAATAGTCACCTGACCTCTGGGTTCCTCTTGCAGCACTACCCACATAGCCTGGCCCCGAGAGGGGCTTGTCACCAGCCCACGGAGCCATAAGTGGGGCTCCTGGTTGAGAGGTGACAGGGGAGCTGGATTCGAGTGATGGAGCCGCCTGGACCCACCCCTGGGGCTCTGCACCCTCCAAATCCTTCGTGGTCGTTCCCACTGGTTCTGCTTTGGTGCCATCACGCTAAGGGGGAGAGTGCTGGAAATTTTGTCCACAGCCTCTCAGCGGCTGCTGTGTAGGATCAGGGAGTTTCCCAGATGGATGGGGCCTGGGAGAGGTGTTTGTTTCCTTTTCAGATTGGCCCTCAGATTCCTGAGGCAGAGGTAGTCAGTGGGACAGAGCAGCCCCTCCCAACCTTTCTGCTGCCCACACAATACAAGCCATCCTGGTATTTTCTTATTATTGCAGAATTTATGAAACCAGAAGGAGATACATAGGAAGCGATTTCCTGCAAGGAATTGGCTTACACAATTGTGGGGGCAGGTGGGGCAGACCTGAAATCCAGGGATCAGGCCGGCAGGAGGGGAGTCTGCACGTCAGGGTGAAGCTGCCGTCCACGGGCAGAATGTTTTTGTCTTCCGCGAGGAAGCCTCGGCTCTGTGTCTAGGGCCTTGCAACTGATGGGGTCAGGCCCACCTAGATTATCTGAGATCATCTCTTTTACTTAACATCAGCTGACTGTGGACTTCAATCACCTCTACAACATATCCTGACAGCAGCGCCTGCATTACTGTTGATAGAACACCTGGGATCGTAGCCTAGCAACACTGACTCAGCAAACTGAGCTGATGACCCGGGCTCTGATGCCTCACTTCCCTTTGGGCCTCGCCTTCCTCCTTCCTCACCTGAAGTGACTGATCTGGGCAGCACTACTTTCTTTTCTTCCAGGAAAAGTATAAGAATCTGAAAGCTTCTGAAGGCCCTAAAAGATCTTGCACCCCAACACCACATTTCCAACAGAGCTCGCAGAGGGCCTCGGGGCTACTCCTGCACCGTGAGCTCAGATGATTGTGGTCATGCTCCCTTTTTTTACAGGCCAAATGCCTCAATTAAGTCTTAATAATGTGCTATTTAATTCTCATAACCTTCAGTAATTTCTCTGTTTATCGACAAAGTGTATCAAGCTTGTAGGAGTGGCTTCTATGCCTTCTTCGTTAAGGTGTTAAGGGAAATGTGATTTTAACAAAGGGGATTTTGTGGTGGTTTCCTTGGATTCGCTTAGTTCTGTTTTTCAATTGATGGATTGTTTCTGGTTTATGAGAATCTCTATGAGATAAATGTAATGAGAAGAAGGAGTGTAGACTGTCATTGTAGGCTATTTCTCTTCCTCAGTCTTTTTAGAACAAACCTCAGCCCTGCTCTGAAATTCAGAGCTGGTGAAGAATGAAGAGGTCAAATGAGACCCAGGAATGATTTGGCAATAATTATGTTATTACATATGGAAATGATGCATAGTATTATTACTTATAAAAACTAACATATAGCCATAAGGTAGGGCTCCTGGTTGAGAGGTGACAGTGGAGCTGTATTTGAGTGATGGAGCCACTGTGTTCAGGCATTCTATGCTTCTTTGATGCTCATAACAGCCCATTTTACCGATGACAAAACTGAGGCACAGACTCCAGATGGCTGAACCAATGTCACAAGTTCATAAACGCTAGGGACAGGATTTGAACCCAGGCTGCCTGGCACTGGCCTCCAGGCTCTTAGCTATGCGTGAAAGGGCTGCACACTAGATGCTTGAGATATTTTTGGGTTCGAATCTATGATGCATCACCTAAGATGACAGTTTTTTGTGACCTTTAATTGTTTTACATAACGAAGGAGAGGTTGCCGCCATAAGTGAAAACCTACTCAGACGACTTGACGTTGGCCCATTGGCAAAGAAAGTAGCTCTAAGAAGTGATGACACTGTGTGCAGCCTGGGCCTTCACAGGTGCTGCTGGCAGCTGGCAGCTCAGAGCTATGGACAGCTGCTTGTGGGCGACCTATTATTCAACACATCCCAGGTGCTTCGAGGGTGGCTGGGTTGGGGACATCATCCCCTGCTGGTGGCAGGTGTCCCTGCCTTTCAAGACCAAGGCCAGTGGCCTGGCCAGGAGTCTAGAAGCATCTCCGAAGTGTGTGAAGCATTGACCAACCGCTGCTGTGTGCAGAGCTGGGCAGGCCCTTCGTGGGCAGAGAGGGTCTACCTGCCACGTCCTCCCTCCTGCGCACGCCGGGGCGCAGGCTTTTAACATCCTGATGGATTTCTCCCTCTCCTTCACTTAGAAAACCCGATTCCCATCACCCAGAAGGAACATGGGATTAATGGCAAGCTTCAAGCGCCTGTGGTTCTTTGGTAATTGCTTTAAAAGCACACATCCTTAAAGCCACCTTTAGAACGTAGTTGATTTCAGGCAGTTTGGAAAGAACTTCTGGTGAGTTGAGGCAAAATGGTGATTATCTGCAAGTGTCATGCCTGTGTCCTCACATCAGATCGCTGTTTTCCATCGCCCCTGCAGGAATGCTGAAATGCCATGTAGCTGCATCTTTCTACCCCAATAAAACACAGTGAACTCCCGGCTAGGATTCCTACAAACGCAGGAGTGCAGAGGTTGGGAAGTGATTTTACTAAGCCAGCTGTCAGAGATGTGTGTCGGGGGGGCAAGAACATTGCTCCCGAGTAGAGCTCTGGGGACCTTGTTAACCTGCAGGTGCTGATTCTTGGGTCTGGGTGGGGCCTGAGCTCGCACCTCTAACACACTCCCAGGAGCTGCTGAGCTTCAGGTCCAAGTACAAGGAGTTAGAGGATTGCTCAGACCACTCATGGGAGAAGAACAAGAGAAGCCCACAGAGGAAACACTGGCCACGAACTCATATCTACAGTAACACTAACAGGTGCCCCGGGCACGGCGTCCCATTTGCAGGGAGGGGAGAGTGAGAAGTCAGACTGGAATCATTGGCCCACACGGGGCAACTTTCCTTCGTCATCCACCAACCTAGCCCCGGTTTAGAAGGCGGCCCGCGATGCTGTGTGATGGTGCGTGGTGTGGTTAGGGTGTGGGACTGGACATCCCCTCAGGGGGCCTGTGGGGCGGAACTGGAGTTGCAGATGTTTTCCTACTCGGGTCTCACAACACTAAGGAGAAAGGCATGCCCGTTGCACCCGCTTCGTGCGCCGTCCACGTGAAGCCATGCTGCTGCTTTGGCGTCATGTGTCTCTGTGACTTTGTTTAAAGGTCACCTGAGTAGGCAGGTGCTAAATTTCCTCATTTGATACGAGCCTGTGCCGCACCGCAGACGCTGAACCCACCCCGCCCGAAGCCCATTTCGGATTTCCATAGCAAATCCACCGCTCGGGCTGAGCAAGTGAAAGCTAGAACCTGCAGCTGGTAGTCTTTTCTAAAAAGATTCTGGTTGCTTTACTATGTTTAAGAGCAGAGATGCCAGACCCCACGTGCATGCCTGAGCCCCCTGGGAGGTCATCTTTGAAGTGAGCCTGGCCTGTGCGTAGAAAAGAGCATCATCATAGCCGATGGTCAGGAGACGGCTGTTTAATCCTGTTTTCTTAATTAAATGGAAACCAAATTATTTAGACGCTGTTCTCTGGAGGTCAAGTTTCTCTCGCTCACTGGTAGCTGGGATCATGATGCCTGTTTGTGCGGAGTGGGGATGGAAATTCTGATCGAGTTATTATTTCTCCCCTAAGAGCCGGTGCAGGCATTGGCTGGCATGGTGCCCTCTCCTTGGTGGGGCTGATTCTGTCCTGCAAGTGTAGTTTGTCTGTTCTCCCCTTTAATCTGTTCTCCTTCACTGCCTTGCAACCCCCACCTCTGCGCTGGCCTCTAGACAGTCGGAAAGTGGGCGATGGGCTGTGGCAACTGACCTACAAACAGTGTCTAGACACAGATGCATGAAAAGTACTTTCTCCTGAGAGTCTTCTTTAAAAAAAAAAAAAAGATTTATTTTACCTACAGTTAAAAAAAAAAGGCAAGCCAGCTTTAGGGAGAAGAAGAAGAGCAAACGAACTTGTGTGTTCTAAAGTACGTGAACCCTGCTGTCTGCTGCAGTGTTGAGGACTTACCTGTTTCAGGAGCTCACATAGCAGGTCTCTACTGGTTGGCAGGTGGGCGCTGCCGTCTAAGTTTGGGACCATCTTTGACTCCGGGTCAAATTGAGAGCCTAGATTCTTGCAAACAGGAGGGACCATGGTGTCCTTCCATCCAGTAGACATTTAGTGGAGGCAGACACTGGTGTTGTTTGGAGCTGTGAAGATCAAGCAGACACCCCCACCCCCGCCGTGGTATCTACCTGATAGGACCAGATAGAGGGAAGCATCACACCCAGGTCACAGTGGGCAGAGAACCCCCGTGGGGAGGAGAAACTTCCCATGAGAACATCACAAGATCCAAGTCTGCTATACTGTTTGGGTTTCGTCTTGTTCAAAAGGAGGGATGTGCAGGTGGGTGGGCGTGAGCAGATGGTGCTCCTGGGTGCCCTGTGCAGAGAATGAGAGGGTCCCCTAATACAGCCTGGTAGAGGGAAGGAGTGGCGACAGGCGAGCACGACAGAGTCCACTCTACAAGACACGCAGTGGCCTTCAGAGAGCAGAAGTGGGAATAATGTGCTATGCAAACACTCTGCCCCCTTGCAGTGTTTGCTAGCTTCTGGACTAGGCAACTCTGAATTATAATGTTCTTTTGCCACTGACTTGCTCTGTGACCTTGAGCAATGATCTCGCTCCCTTCCCCGTCTGATCCTCAGCTCATCTAGCTGTAAAAATGAGGGTCTTAACTTGACTTACTGTATAGGGCTCTCAGATGACCAGCAAATAACCCTGATTTGACAGTTCTTGGTTGGTTAAGAAGTGCACTGGCCCCAGTGCCCCCGTGGCTCCCCCAGGCCAGGGACAGGATACTCATGTCTCTCTTGTCTTTTCTGTGTTCCAGGAATAGAGCTGTGTCCCCCTGGAAAACGGTTCATGATCACCATGGTGGCGAGCTTCGTGGCCATAGCGGGGCAGCTCCTCATGCCCGGGCTGGCGGCGCTGTGCCGGGACTGGCAGGTGCTGCAGGCGCTCATCATCTGCCCCTTCCTGCTCATGCTGCTGTACTGGTCGTGAGTATCCCCGCAGGCTGCCCATGCAGCTGCCCGCACGCGGAAGGCCGCGCCCACCCCGGGAGACACAGAGGAAGCATAGGGCTGGGACCCGCTATCCCCAAACTCCCCCTTGTGTCAGCTTGTGTGTTGTGAGGGAATGTTGCTCTCTCTTTTTTATTTTTTTTATTTATTTTTTAAATGTCTTGTCTTGGGAAATGTTCAGACCCACACAAAGTGCATAGAAGATTGGAATGAGCCCTGGGTGCCCTTTGCCAGCTCTGACCACGTGCTCTTCTCAGTCTGGTGTCACACCTATTTGCTGGGTTATTCCGATGTGATTTTCATGAATGGATTTGCGAAGGGGGGATCCTTGGGTTGGGCGGAGCAATAGGGAGAAGATGTTCAAGGAAATTCAGCAAAGCCACCTGGTCTCCTCTGGACTACAGAGGGGCAATGCCAGGCCCTCGGTCGCCACCCAGCAGCTGCAACCCAGGCTCGTGTGGCCCACAGAGCTGAGAACAGCTGCTGTGTGGTCCTGTGGGGGGGAAAGTCTGCTCTGACAAGTTCAGGAGGAATTTTAGGGCCACGTGTACCTTTTCAGTTTCTAAGGTTTAAGTTTTGGGCTTGCTGACTTTAGGAAAAAAGAAACTGCTAAGCACACTGGTTTTAAGCTATGACCTGGGCAACTAGATTTTTGAAACTCCCAGGGGATTAACGTGTAGCTGAGATTGGAAATCACCACTCTTAGACAGTTGTTAGGGGGAAAAGGAGTGTCCTGACCTTTTTATAAATAACCCTTCTCTTTCTGTGCCTTCCATCCCACCCCCCATGCCAACACTCTTGCTTCCCCACAAGTACAGGGTACTGTCGCGTAGATTATAATACTGCGCTATTTCTATTCCTTCGTCACCAATGGCAACCAGATGTCCGGCAAAAAGTCAGTCAGTTGTGTCTCAGCTTTGTTCACAGAGTGGAGAGGGCACTACTGGGGCTTCCTTTTTTTCAAAGGTGCCAGGGAGGAGAAGAAAGCCCCTGCCTTTTAACTTTGCCAGGGCCACCACCCAGGTTGTCACCCCCAGCAGATAAAAAAAAAAAGCCTTTTCCTCTAGAGCCCTGCCCTTGCTCACTCCGTCATAAGAGCCTCAGCAGCAGCGAGGAGCCTAAAGGCCATCTGCTGGCGAGGGCCCCACCGCGCAGCGGCCACACTGCGCTCCTCTCACCAGCGCCTCTGCCAGGCTTCTAGACCTGAGGTCCTCCTGAGGAACCACACAGGTTTCAGATCCTGCTCCCTCCAGCAGGATGGCCTGGCCAGTGTGGCTCAGTTGGTTGGGGTGTCCTCCCGTGCACCAAAGTGTTGCCGGTTTGATTGCTGGATCCCCAGTAGGAGATGTGCAGGAGGCAGCCGATCGATGTTTCTCTCTCCCTCTCCCTTCCTCTCTCTCTAAAAATCAATGAAAATATTTAAAAAATAAGAGGCAAAGAATGAAATGGTTTCCCCAGAGCAGGAAGCAGTGAGCAGCTCTTCCCTTAATCAGTCAGAGGAAGCCCTTCCTGTTCCTCCCTGCGTCCGGAGCCGGGCTGGGCTTGTTTTGGACTTTGGGGCATTTATTTATTTAACAAATGTTTATTTAGTGTCTGCTCTATGCCAGATGCACATGCTAGCACTACACAAAGAGTAGACCATTCAGTCTTCCTATCGACCACCCCACTGAGAAATTGACAAAACTGAGGCGCCCAGCTGGCCCTGAAACCCAGCACTTGTGCTGTCTCCCACCTTCCCTCAGCTGCCATCCACTTGTCTTGGGAGAGGAGCCCCATTGCCCTAGAGCATCTTCCGTGTGGTCTGGCATCCTCCGCCTCCCTCCTCTCACTTCCTGGCCTCCACAGCACCCAAGGGCAGAAGTGCTGTCTGCTGGCCCCTGGGGGTTGTTGGGCTGGGGTAGGCACAGCCTTTTGGAGACCCACACTCCTGTGAGGGCAGACAGGGTGTCTCCATTACCTCCAGGCTCTGAGTCTCAGCCCTGGTTCTGCTCCCACCTGTCCCACGTAGGAGGGCACCTGATGGAGAGAAATGGCAGGGAAGGCTTTCCTGGAACGGGTCTGGGATCCTGGCCCACGTGGGAAAGGGCTGCAGGGTGGGGGGGTGGGAGGGGGATAAGGATATTTGTCTTATTCTTGTTCATTTAAATTTAAAATGCATCAAGGTTAATGATAGGCAAGGTAAGGCATTCATGTACTTATGTACATTATCAAACCTAAGGAAAATTCTTTGAAACAAAACTCTACAGTGGAAAGGGTATCCAGGGTACTCTGACAAGTAAAATGTGTGTGTGGACAGACAGATGGACAGATGTCCCGATGCACTGGCACCGTGTAGTTACTGCTCTGGCACCGCTGTCTGGATCAACCTGCTCTGCTCACACATGTTAACTGCTGTGATCGTAATCGGCATTATTTTTTATTTATATTATTATTTAAGGTGCTTGGCACATGTCTGGCCTACAGCAGGTGCTCACTAATATTAGCTACTGTTGTTACGATGATTATATCACCTCTTAGCATGTGTGGCAGCCTGGGAGTACCAGGCAGGTAAAAGACACCAGGCGTGAGAGCCGTATTCCATTTCACCTAGCAGAAAGCCTCCGTAACAGTCATTGGCTTTTAAAGGCCACTGCACTGCCTCTCCTTTTCTGTCATCTTCTGATTCCCTCCCGCCTCCCATCCGCTGCAGCGGGAAGCTGTGGCTCCCCAGGCTCTGGTCTGACAGGATGAAGTGGGCTGCTGGGGGAGGTGGTGAGCTGCAGCACCAGTCCCAGGACCAGCTATTGGTGACAAAATATTGAAAGTCACTTGCTTTCCTTTAATGAGCAGGTATTTATTTTGTGCGCCCAGGGGGCCAGCAGTGCACTTGGTGCTTTGCAGTGACTCTAAGAGCTGTGCATGAACAAGGGTCATAAACCAAACTGTATGACACAAGTCGCCACAACCAGGGTCCTGGGTAACAACAAAGAGGTGGACGGGGGTTGGAGGGATCTCCTGGTTCCAATTGTGGGCTAAGCTGACAGGGACCCTCCAAACACACACAGATGCCGAATAAGATACACATTAGCCAAAGTGTTACACAGCGCTGAGTTCCGTGCAAGCCCCGGGAGTTCCCTGGGCCCAGACCAAGCAGAGCATTCGAGCAGGACTGACCAGGCAGCTGCAGAGCATCTGAACCGGAAAAAGGAGCTTGGGCTTCAGCACCTGCACAGGGGGCTGGAGCTGAGATCTAAGGCCCGTATCTCTTAGAATCGGGCCCTTAAATGAAACCAGGGGTCAGAACTGTTGGTGAAAATAGAGCTGAGGGTGGAACAGTTCATCCCACCAAGAGACCTAACTCCGAAGCTGGCTGACGGCCTGGGGCTGAGGGTGGAAGAGTTCATCCGTAGAAACTGGAGCCTCGATGTCTGCACCACACATGCTGTGTGTTCTAAATTCCAAGGCTCGGACGTTAGCGTAAGAACCAGTGAGTTCTTCAGAACCTCAAGGCCAAATGGAAACCCCCCCGGGGAGAACCACTGGGGCCAGGCACTCAAGATTCACTCCAAAGAAATGTTCACCAAGGATAAGCTCACAGGCAGAATTCACAGAGCTCATCACAAGGGCCAAAAACTATAAATTGGGGAGCTTGCATACCAGGAACTCCAGAAAATAGAGCAATCTGAGAGATAAGTTAATTAGCTAACTTATTAAGTAGTTACCACAACCCCACATCAATTGCTGTTCTAGATACTAAGTATTCTAGATACTGCACATGCATACGAGCGGGTCCTCGCTCACGTGAAAACTCCCTTACAGTGGGGTGTGTGGCGTGGGAGGGAGCCCACTGACCATGAAGCCATCAACAAGCAAAGGGCATGGATTCACTAACCAGCACATGAGGAAGGTGAGACGCTGCCGTGGGACAGAAAGGGACAGCAGGGTGATCAGAAGGGCCGCTCTGAAGAGGCGACATTCCTTTCTGAGACATTAATGATCAGAAGGAGGAAGTCACACACAGTTCTGCTCGGAAATGTGTTCCCAGCACATGGGAGCAGCCAGGGCAACAGCTGGCTCCCACTGTTTTTTCTGGAAGAGGAAGCAAGGCCAGTGTGTCTGGAACATGAGGGAAAAGGGGCGGGAGGCCAAGCTCAGAGGCAGGTGGGTCAGACCACCTGGGGCTGAAGCCCAGCGATTTCTTCTAAAAGCAGGAAGACCCGTTGGAGGTTTATGCAGGTCAGGGATATGCTCTGGCGCATGCTCTGGGGTTGCTGTCTGCAGTGTGGCGAGTGGTCGTGGGCGGGTGAGAGGGCCAGAGGGCTGCCACACTGGCAGGCCCGTGAGAGGTGGTGTGGTGCCTGCACTGGGGTGGGTGGGAGGTCACTGGAAGGGGTTTGACCCCAGGTACACTCCGTAAGTGGCTTCGTGGAGGCTTGCCAGTGGTCTGCGAGGGCGGGTGGGATAAGGAACGGCAGTAACTCGGGTTTGGACGGTTTGCTGAGATGGGGCCGGAGCTCCCTGAAACGTAGAGGCCCATCTAGGAAATGGAGCGTGAAGTCCTGTCCTGAGAGCAGTTGGAAGGGTGACAGAAATGAGATCACTGGCTGAGGGGGAGCTTTGAAAAGGCGGGTTTTGATCTTGGGGACAATAGGGAACCAGTGTAAGGAGTGCAGAGACTTGATTGAAACCACAGCCTGCATTAAATTACAGGGTTTATTAGCATCCAGATCTGGTGAGGCCAACAGAGCAGGAGGCGAAGTCACTGAGTAGTTACTCAGTTCCCAAGAGTTGGGGCGCTCCACATCACGGGGGCCACACAGGAGGCACCGGGTCAGTCAGGAGGCTGAGGGAAGGAGGGGGCAGGAGCCTTCACTGTGCTTTCCTCAGGGAGGAACCGGTGAGCCAGGTGAGCAGGCTTCCTGTTGGCTGGTTTGAATAAGTTCAGGGGGCCAGGGGGCACCCGGACTGTCCGCTGGTTGTCTGGTACCTGGCCCTGG